TTCCCTCGAAATGTGCCCAGCAGTCCGTTCCTGCTATGCCTTGCCGATCGGCAACTAGCGAGCCTCAACCCCATAGGGAAATTGAACAGCACCTTAAGCACGTATCCCCATTAGCTGGTTTTGAAGATTTAGCTATAGCAGTTGAATCAGACCCCACCGCTAATAGGTTAGTTACAGAACTTCTTGACCATGAGCAATTGATAGCCCAAGCCCTCCAGTTGGAGGATCCAAAGGCACCAACTCCCGAAATCAAAGCTATGGTCACTAAGCTTTTGTCCCGTGCAGAGATGTTGTCCAACCCTAAGGCGCTTGAAGCAATTCGCGCCGAAGCCGACGGTTTAGTCAAAGCGGGCACTTGGGACCTTAGCTCGGTCCGCGAGAAGGAAGACGTACGCAAAGAAGCTAAAGCTTCAGGTGTATCCGTACATTTTGGTCAGTTGACGACCATTGCGTCCATCAAATTCTACGAGCTTGCTGACCACCTTCACAAGATGAAGGGTCGCATAGTTTACCGCGGAGACTGCGCGAAAGACGAGCGCGGTGCAGCGGCCGTCTGTCAAGAGCTCGGCGCTAATCCTACCTCCGTCCAAGGGCTCAACGCCTGCTTAGCGTACGGGTCGCTGCCGGGAAACCGCGCGACAGCCGCCGATGCGGTCAAAGCTTACGTTCAAGCACTGTTGTCCTCCAAGTACAAGACCTGGATTGAGCTTCCCCTGGAGCTCCGCCCTAAGTATTGGAAACAACAGTTTGTTAAGCCCGTAGTCCTTTTAATCAAAGCCTTATACGGTCATCCCGATGCCGGAGGCTTGTGGGAGCAACACCTAAAAGTCATCTCCAAGAACCTTGGAGGGCAAGAAGTTCCAGAATACCCAGGAAACTTTTACTTCCCAGGTACTAAGTTACTTCTGTCAACTTATGTAGATAGACGATTTAACTCTAGCTGGCCCCGCCGACCAGCATGATGCATTCTGGAGTAAGTTAACTTCTGTTGTAGACATAGAACCCCCGGAGCCCATCTATAGGATTCTTGGACGTAACCATGTTGTTACCCCACTCTCCAAGACCGAAGGTCATGAGACATGTGCAGCCTTCCAATCCCAAACTGGCATGGTTTTTGATATGGCAGACTACGCTCAGCAGACCGTAGATTTGTATAAATCAATCTCCGGTGTTTCCAAACTCAAGCATGCTGCTACGCCGTTTCCACCTGAAGGATCCATCACCACTGAGGATGAGGAAACTAAAGGGGAACTAGCTCCCAACACATGTAAGATTTTGATGAAAGCCCTTTGGTTAGGTAGACTTGCACGTCCCGACATTATCAAGTCTATCAATGATCTGGCCACAAAGGTCCAGTCGTGGTCTAGGGCGGATGATAAGAAGGTCCTTAGATTAATCCAGTACCAGGTTAGTAGGTACCATTCAGGACAAACCTGAAGACCTAGAGCTTAGACTATTCGTCGATGCCGACTTCGCCGGCGATAAGTCGACTGCACGCTCAACCTCTGGTGGCTTTCTGGCTTTAGCTGGCCCTAGTTCCTTCTTCCCGCTTGCGTGGATCAGCAAGCGCCAAACATCTACTTCTAGATCGACCACAGAAAGCGAAGTAGTGAGTTTAGCTCATTCGCTTTATCAAGAAGGCTTTGCCTGCCTTACAGTTATGGGAGCTGTTGCTTGCACGCTCCGTAACCCTAAGAGTCCACGAGGACAACCAAGCAACAATCCTAGTTGTGAAGAAAGGATATAGTCCCAAGCTTCGCCATATCACTAGAACACATAAAGTAAATCTGTCTTGCCTGTCTGAAATCTTCAAAGATGACCCTGCCAAAATAGAGTACATCAACACCGACGACCAGGCGGCAGACATTTTCACCAAGGCATTGCCTCCACATAAATGGGCAGCAGCACTAATCCTTTTAGGAATCCGTACTGACCTTCCCTTAGACCTCAAATCCAACGCATAGGTCGCAGTGGATGCTCTCGCGACAGTAGCTGCGTAGGTTACTGCCAATGCGGAGTACGTGTGGAACAGGCGAGGGGGGAGTTGAAATATACCGACCCCTGAGCCCCACTATGTATAGCATAGGTAGTAGGTCTTGTGTAGACATGGCATAGCTATGATTCCATCACATTCCAAGTAGTTACATCCGAAGTATGTACATTAACGCACTACCACCTAGAAGCGTTAGGTAGGTAGAGTAGCTGTAGGTTAGAGGCTGGTACCCTATTTTTACCCTAACAACTACCTGGGTATGATAGGGTGCGCTACCGACGTCTATGGCTCAAACACGTCTATGGCTCAAACGCCCAATAGAAAAGGGTGTTTGGTTTCATGTGTGAAGGGTTGTGGAAGGAACCTAGTGGTTTTTCCCCCCTTCTGTCTTTTATTGTATTTTATACGCGAACTGGCTCACAGAATTGGCTTCTTACCGGAAAGGCATGTTCACGAAACTCACCTAGCCTTGTGACGCTTCTATTGGCCCTTAGGAGGTCTGCAGACCTGCAGCTGGACGCTTGACTTTGTACTGTTTCTGGTTCCATACCAAGGATCTCGAGCTCACCGATTTGCTCAAAGACAAAGCCCACCAAATCCTTGGGATCAATGCGGGCGCCACAGCCGAAACCGTGGAAAGTGCAAAGCAGTGTTGCTCGCTTTGGTGCCTGGGTCGAGGGGATGAGTTGGGCCGTCTGATGTCTTTGAAAGCAGCCAGCTTTCTCCAAGAAGAGGACAAACGTAGCAGTTTGCGTGGACGTGATGAAAGGCAACTGGATGTTTGTAAAGAACTTGCTCGATCTAGCAATTTCGGTGCAGATGAAGTGGCGGTGGAGAGCGACCCCATGCCAGAGCTGGTCAAATGCAGGATGCGAGTGGGAGAGGCACTCAGGGACAACAACCATCAGCTTGACGAATTGGAAGAGTTGAAGGTAGGGCTTTCAAAGCAGGAGGGTCATATCTGCGACTCAGCTGCTGTCCTCTCAGCTCTTCCAACGACAATACAGTTGCTTTGGGGGGAGGTTGAGACAGCAATTCCTGGGCCAACAACGCTGTGCAAACTCACAGATCTATTAGATGCATTCCAAGAAAAAAGTAGCCTTACATCCAAAGATGGAGAATTTGTTCTACCTTCTTCGGACGCAAACGCAGCCTGGGTTGTGAATCTGGCACGGCTGAGCCAACCGGAAAAGTTGTCTGAAAAGTTGCGAGAACATATGCTGACTCCTTTGCATGCATCTCTGACAGTCATCGAACCCATGGCAAGTTTGAAGGCTGCCAAACTTTGTGATAGCTTCCTGGCAGCAGTTTGCAAGACAGAAGCGAATCCGTGGTATGCGCAGGTTGAATCATACTTGCAAGAGTCTGCATCGCGGCAAACAGTTCAAGTGGCCATAGTCAATGAGTACATTGAACAAGCGGAAGGCTCATTGCTTCTGGATGCTGCGCAATTGGCCCGGCACGCTTGCATGTGGATGGGAGTGGACTACGGCGTGTGCTCTTTTCATGAGGCATCTCGGCAACTTGCCAAGCATCATCGGATGCTGCAGCTGCTGGACTTTGACGACCAAGAGTCTGCCGTGGCTGCTGCGGATCTTGCGAAGAGCACTTTTGATGTGGCTGTGTCCATGCTCAACCAATCTTCGCAAGAGCCATTGATCCAGGACGCTGATCCAGCATCGCTTCACGGAACTCTTCCTGCTCCAGATGACGACGAGGAAGAATATGAGTCGATAGACTGTGACCGTCCCCCATCTGGTTGGCGAGAAGTGTTTGCGGGGGAATCATCTGCCAGCAAGGCCAGCTCGCCCTCTCGACAACTGTTTATCGGCCCAAACAGACCAAAACCAGCGCCATGGTGATCAGACAAAACCTATGAGAACAGACTAAATACTACTTATTCCAATGCTTGCAAACCTTGAGTATTTGTGTCCCTTATATAATCCATACTGCATTCTGACATTCACAACGATTCGTCAAGATGTGTCCATCATTCTGCTTTGCCACCAGCAATTGATTTTCCGCAGGCAGAGCATGTTCTTCGATGCCCGAAGGTTGAGAAGATCTTGAACACCCGAGGCCAAGTACAGCTCTGCAAGCAAAACTTGGAGCAGATCGAAGCAGCAGGTTTGCAAGCGCCACTGGTGCCAAGGTGGGAGCTTGATGAGCGGCGGGGGATTGTGGATTGCAGAGTGCAGTCTATTGATGGCATTGCTCGAATGTAGTATCTGACTTTACATGTTCATCTCAACATTCAAAACTATAGAAACCCATCACCTTCAATACAGATATCACCCACATAAACAAACGTGCACTCATACACGGCACATTCAGACATTCTTGAGATCTCTGCATGCGACATCTCTGTATTTGTTGTCGTATTGCAGTGTTCCTGTCTGCTACACTTTGAGACGGGGTTGGGTTCTACGCGAACCCATGTTTTCGGAAGACATGTAAACTGAATCCAGTCTAGTGCATCCTGCATGAGTTTTAGCGATTGGCAGGAATGTTCGCGAGAAGTTGGCAACAATCCCAAAAAACCTAGGCAATTTGAGTCTGGTCAAGAAAGGTTCCCTTGCTCTGCCTGCCCTTTTCTGCGTTTTGGTACTGTAGAAGGAAAACCTAAACACTTTTGTCTGAAGTATGCAACGGCTGAAAGAAATAGTTTGGACGCGCTGCACGTTCCCTGAGGCTTTGCACGACATCAGTACGTGAGAGCGCACTTGCTGTGCTCAAGTCTTACCAGCACTTCATCAACTACAGGCTCGAACATGTCCAGACATCTGCCCATCTATTGGATTTGTTGCGGGAGCTCCAGCATCAGTTCCAGGATGCATCAACTGCGTCCGCTGACCACTGGGAAGAATTCCACAACAGAAGACGTGTAGCATTGTTCGGAGTGCTGTGCCCGGAAGAGATGCGGCAGCTTTTGCAGGAGATGCTCTTGACTCCGCTTCACGTGATCTCATTTGTGTTGCTCAATGAGGATCAACGAGCACATGCCTCCATGGTTTGCGATTCCATTCTCAGTGAGACTTGTGATTGCCAGCCAACGCGTTCTTTGTACTACAAGGAGATTAAGTTTCAGGGTTTGTGTCCCTAAAAATATTCCGAAGAAAAGATATGTAGAGTTGCTGATTTATCTTTAGGGTTCCCGAAATTGTTCCTGCACAGACATAAACTGGGATTTTCCTCATCGAACATGTTGAATAGCTGTATCCCAGTGCTGAACCCGCAGGACATTGACATTGCAAACAAACTGCCATCTGAATATGCGGAAGTCTTGAGCCGCCTACCTTGGCACTGGGCAGCATGGATGCACCGCTTGGTGCAATTTGCGGCAGACATCGGTCCCACGGAAGTTCCAAGACTAGCATGTCACGGTGAGGTGCCAAAGGCTGATGTGCTTACAAGCGTGACAGCAGACTGTCAGCAGATCTTGCTTCTTTCAGCTCTCCTGAGCCAAAATGAAGAATCGAAGCTTGCCTCGTCAGCTTTGAAAGCCCTAGCTGAAGCAGATGCATTCCTTCGTCCAGACCACTCAGACCACAGCAAAGAATTCCAAAGGCCAGTAGAATGCCTGCAGGCACTATCCAATTTCCTCACGATTGGAGAGTTGCCAAAGTGTCAAATCATGCGAATTGACGCTGAGAGTTTGCTTTGGCCAGAGATTGAACTCCTGGCCTCGCACATCTTTAGAGGGATTCTCCCTACGCTGGACAGCTTGCTCTTTGATGCCGTCATGGAGAACTTGCACCCAAGCGAGTGGGAGGACCAAATGCAGCGGATTTTGGATTCTGTTCAGGAAGCTCTCACAACAGCCGGTGTGACAACCATCACAGCCGACTGGGCACCTCCAGAGAACCGCATTTGCTGCTTGCTCCTTGCCGGGCAAATTGCCGATCAGATCAGATTCACCTCAATCCTGCAGAGAGTCCTTGTGGCCCCGATGTATCTTCGATTGTTTGCTGCAGCACCAGACAAGGGCTCCGCGCAAGCACTGTTGGCTCAGCGGCTTGGGTGGGATGGTCTCGCGGATTGGTTTGAGTCCATTCTGAATCTACCAGGGGATGAACGACTGGAGAAGGCTTACTCATTCCTTGGAGTTGAGTCAGGGCACCAACCTCTGCGACCAAAGAAAGGCTCCTACGAACACATCACGGATGCAGAGATCACCCGCTATTACCGAGAAGCTTGCAGAAAGCTTCGCCCCGACAAGCATGCGAAAGAAGACCAGGCAACACAGGATAAGTTCAAGGCCAAGATGCAACAGCTGCAGGTTTACATGGAGCTCATCAAGGTGAACCGAGAAGAACTTCGGAAGAAGAAGACATTTGAGGAGCTCGGGTTCAGTGAGAAAGACATTGAACGTGCTTTGCAGATGGATACAGCGAGAACTCAAGAGTATGCTCAAAACCTCCCAGCTGAGAAGCTTCGTGCTGAGATTGCATACCTGGCACAGTTTCATTGTCATCAGCTAGACAAGATTCATGAGCTGGAAGCTTGGACGAAAAATTATAGTGTCTCTAAATTGGCTGTGGAAATCAAAAGGAACATCCATATATCATATACAGATGCATGTGTTTGCATATATATATAGAGATTATTTTATTATATTATATACGCGGCTGTATGCATGTAACAGAACTGGCTCACAGAATTGGCTTCTTACCGGAAAGGCATGTTCAAGAAACTCACCTGGGCTTGTGACGCTTCTTTTGGCCCTTAGGAGGTCTGCAGACCTGCAGCTCGACGCTTGACTTTGTACTGTGGTTTTCAAACCAAGGATCTCGAGCTCACCGATTTGCTCCGAGACAAAGCCCACCAAATCCTTGGGATCAATGCGGGTGCCACAGCCGAAACAGTGAAAAGTGCAAAGCAGTGTTGCTTGCTTTGGTGCCTGGGTCAAGGGGATGAAGTGGGCCGTCTGATGTCTTTGAAAGCAGCCAGTTTTCTCCAAGAAGAGGACAAACGTAGCAGTTTGCGTGGACGTGATGAAAGGCAACTGGATGTTTGTAAAGAACTTGCTCGATCTAGCAATTTCGGTGCAGATGAAGTGGCGGCGGAGAGCGACCCCATGCCGGAGCTGGTCAAATGCAGGATGCGAGTGGGAGAGGCCCTCAGGGACAACAACCATCAGCTTGACGAATTGGAAGAGTTGAAGGTAGGGCTTTCAAAGCAGGAGGGTCATATCTGCGACTCAGCTGCTGTCCTGTCAGCTCTTCCAACGACAATACAGTTGCTTTGGGGGGAGGTTGAGACAGCAATTCCTGGGCCAACAACGCTGTGCAAACTCACAGATCTATTAGATGCATTCCAAGAAAAAAGTAGCCTTACATCCAAAGATGGAGAATTTGTTCTACCTTCTTCGGATGCAAACGCAGCCTGGGTTGTGAATCTGGCACGGCTGAGCCAACCGGAAAAGTTGTCTGAAAAGTTGCGAGAACATATGCTGACTCCTTTGCATGCATCTCTGACAGTCATCGAACCCATGGCAAGTTTGAAGGCTGCCAAACTTTGTGATAGCTTCCTGGCAGCAGTTTGCAAGACAGAAGCGAATCCGTGGTATGCGCAGGTTGAATCATACTTGCAAGAGTCTGCATCGCGGCAAACAGTTCAAGTGGCCATAGTCAATGAGTACATTGAACAAGCGGAAGGCTCATTGCTTCTGGATGCTGCGCAATTGGCCCGGCACGCTTGCATGTGGATGGGAGTGGACTACGGCGTGTGCTCTTTTCATGAGGCATCTCGGCAACTTGCCAAGCATCATCGGATGCTGCAGCTGCTGGACTTTGACGACCAAGAGTCTGCCGTGGCTGCTGCGGATCTTGCGAGGAGCACTTTTGATGTGGCTGTGTCCATGCTCAACCAATCTTCGCAAGAGCCATTGATCCAGGATGCTGATCCAGCATCGCTTCACGGAACTCTTCCTGCTCAAGATGACGACGAGGAAGAATATGAGTCGATAGACTGTGACCGTCCCCCATCTGGTTGGCAAGAAGTGTCTGCGGGGGAATCATCTGCCAGCAAGGCCAGCTCGCCCTCTCGACAACTGTTTATCGGCCCGAACAGATCAAAACCAGCGCCATGGTGATCAGACAAAACCTATGAGAACAGACTAAATACTACTTATTCCAATGCTTGCAAACCTTGAGTATTTGTGTCCCTTATATAATCCATACTGCATTCTGACATTCACAACGATTCGTCAAGATGTGTCCATCATTCTGCTTTGCCACCAGCAATTGATTTTCCGCAGGCAGAGCACGTTCTTCGATGCCCGAAGGTTGAGAAGATCTTGGACATCCGACGCCAAGTACAGCTTTGCAAGCAAAACTTGGAGCAGATAGAAGGAACAGGTTTGCAAGCACCACTGGTGCCAAGGCAGGAGCTTGATGAGCGGCAGGGGCTTGTGGGATTGCAGAGTGCAGTTTATTGATGGCATTGCTCGAATGTAGTATCTGACTTTACATGTTCATCTCAACATTCAAAACTATAGAAACCCATCACCTTCAATACAGATACCACCCCCACAAACAAACGTGCACTCATACACGGCGCATTCAGACATTCTTAAGATCTCTGCATGCGGCATCTCTGTATTTGTTGTCGTATTGCAGTGTTCCTGTCTGCTACACTTTGAGACTGGTTTGGGTTCTACGCGAACCCGTGTTTTCGGAAGACATGTAAACTGAATCCAGTCTAGTGCATCCTTCATGAGTTTTAGCGATTGGCAGGAATGTTAGCGAGAAGTTGGCAACAATCCCAAAAAACCTAGGCAATTTGAGTCTGGTCAAGAAAGGTTCCCTTGCTCTGCCTGCCCTTTTCTGCGTTTTGGTACTGTAGAAGGAAAACCTAAACACTTTTGTCTGAAGTATGCAACGGTTGAAAGAAATAGTTTGGACGCGCTGCACGTTCCCTGAGGCTTTGCACGACATCAGTACGTGAGAGCGCACTTGCTGTGCTCAAGTCTTACCAGCACTTCATCAACTACAGACTCGAAGATGTCCAGACATCTGCCCATCTGTTGGATTTGTTGCGGGAGCTCCAGCAGCAGTTCCAGGATACATCAACTGCGTCCGCTGACCATTGGGAAGAATTCCACAACAGAAGACGTGTAGCATTGTTCGGAGTGCTGTGCCCGGAAGAGATGCGGCAGCTTTTGCAGGAGATGCTCTTGACTCCGCTTCACGTGATCTCATTTGTGTTGCTCAATGAGGATCAACGAGCACATGCCTCCACGGTTTGCGATTCCATTCTCAGTGAGACTTGCGATTGCCAGCCAACGCGTTCTTTGTACTACAAGGAGATTAAGTTTCAGGGTTTGTGTCCCTAAAATTATTCCGAAGAAGAGATATGTAGAGTTGCTGATTTATCTTTAGGGTTCCCGAAATTGTTCCTGCACAGACATAAACTGGGATTTTCCTCATCGAACATGTTGAATAGCTGTATCCCAGTGCTGAACCCGCAGGACATTGACATTGCAAACAAACTGCCATCTGAATATGCGGAAGTCTTGAGCCGCCTACCTTGGCACTGGGCAGCATGGATGCACCGCTTGGTGCAATTTGCGGCAGACATCGGTCCCACGGAAGTTCCAAGACTAGCATGTCACGGTGAGGTGCCAAAGGCTGATGTGCTTACAAGCGTGACAGCAGACTGTCAGCAGATCTTGCTTCTTTCAGCTCTCCTGAGCCAAAATGAAGAATCGAAGCTTGCCTCGTCAGCTTTGAAAGCCCTAGCTGAAGCAGATGCATTCCTTCGTCCAGACCACTCAGACCACAGCAAAGAATTCCAAAGGCCAGTAGAATGCCTGCAGGCACTATCCAATTTCCTCAAGATTGGAGAGTTGCCAAAGTGTCAAATCATGCGAGTTGACGCTGAGAGTTTGCTTTGGCCAGAGATTGAACTCCTGGCCTCGCACATCTTTAGAGGGATTCTCCCTACGCTGGATAGCTTGCTCTTTGATGCCGCCGTGGAGAACTTGCACCCAAGCGAGTGGGAGGACCAAATGCAACGGATTTTGGATTCTGTTCAGGAAGCTCTCACAACAGCCGGTGTGACAACCATCACAGCCGACTGGGCGCCTCCAGAGAACCGCATTTGCTGCTTGCTCCTTGCCGGGCAAATTGCCGATCAGACCAGATTCACCTCAATCCTGCAGAGAGTCCTTGTGGCCCCGATGTATCTTCGAATGTTTGCTGCAGCACCAGACAAGGGCTCCGCGCAAGCACTGTTGGCTCAGCGGTGCCAGCAGATGATGAAAGCAATCCTTCAAGGGGAAGGGCCTCAAGCGCTTCTCAACCTCAATGATGCGGCCAAGAACGACATGGAGTTGAGCAAAATGAATCCGGCATTTGTGTATAAACAGTTGCATGCTGTACTTGGACACTGCGATTGTGCTGATGCCGGTGGCAGAGAGTGTGCCTGTTCGGGTCTAAGTTGTTTCTTCTGTGGAATGTCGCTAGTAGATCCTAGAGACTTGTATTGACTTGCTCCCAATGCAGCATATTGACGCAAGATTCATGTGGCTGTGGAGTATGCATACTGGGTACTGGGTAGCTTGAGGGTGGGGCTATGACAGAGAGATATACTCCACATTTTCTCGTTGTCACTAAGCAGCAAGCTTAAGTCAGAGGTTTGGTTGTCCAATTTTGTGGATAGAGGCCATTTCATTCCAAATTCTTTCGCATATGTAGTACAATTTCGACGTGTACGATATTCGCATAGGTATGTTCCAGAGCTAGTTTGAATTTGTTGTTTGGCCAAAAATCGGATCAAATGGTGAATGCTCAGCCTCAGGTCTGGACCGGGCGCTGAAATGCATGTCACATTACGACCATCCGCGAGCGCCACACACTCTTTGGTTGGAAGGGATCTTGCGAGCACTTTGCGGCCGCGATGCGGATGAGTGGAACCGAAACATGGAATTTAGACGATTCTTAGCTTCCAATAGCATGCAATAGCATGTAACAGCATGTAACAGCTGTAGTTTTGTTGATGAGTTTGGACCTTTTTTCCCGAGAGCGCCTGCGAAGGGTTCTTCGTAAAAAAGCAGCCGTTGTAGTACATCTTCACACCCTCACATCTGCTGATCTACATCTTCACACCCTCACATCTGCTGATCTACATCTTCACACCTTCACATCTGCTGATCTACATCTTCACACCCTCACATCTGCAGATCTACATCTTCCACCTTCACATCTGCACATCTCCTCTCGCTCTTCTTTCTATCTTTCTCTTAAGGCGGGGGCGGTGCCACGAAACGCAACCCTTTCGCACGAAATGGACGTTGGACGTCAAAAACTGAGGTAAAATTGCGATTTAACTTAGTCAAATGCAACCCTTTCGCACGAAATGGACGTTGGACGTCAAAAACTGAGGAAATTGCGATTCTAGTTAGTCCATCACAACCCTTTCGCACGAAATGGACGTTGGACGTCAAAAACTGAGGTAAAATTGTGACTTTGAGATGTCACGGGCAACCCTTTCGCACGAAATGGACGTTGGACGTCAAAAACTGAGGAAAAATTGTGATTTCACGGGTCCGGTCTCTGTGTGTAAAAGCTTCTGTGTGAAAAAGCTTCTGTGTTTAAAAGCCTCTGTGTGTAAAAGCTTCTGTATGTAAAAGCGTCTGTGTGTAAAAGCGTCTGTGTGTAAAGTTGTCTGCGTGTAAGCTTTTGTGTGCAAAAGCATCTGCGTGTAAAAGCGTCTGTGTGTAAAAGTGTCTGTGTGTTAAAATGGTCTGTGTGTGAAAGTGTCTGTGTGTAAAAGGCGTCTGTGTGTACAAGCGTCTGTGGGTAAAAGCGTCTGTGTGCAGAAGCGTCTGTGTGTAAAAGCGTCTGTGTGTAAAGGAGTCTGTGTGTAAAAGCGTCTGTGCGCAAAAGCGTCTGTGTGTAAAGGAGTCTGTGTGTTAAAGCGTCTGTGCGCAAAAGCGTCTGTGTGCAAAAGTGATTGTGTGTAACATGGTCTGTTTGTAAAAGTGTCTGTGTGTAAAAGCGTTTGTGTGTAAAATGGTCTGTGTGTAGAGGTGTCTGTGTGTAAAAGCTTCTGTGTGTAATAGCTTCTGTGTTTAAAAGCTTCCGTGTGTAAAAGTGTCTGTGTGTAAAATGGTCTGTGTGTAAAAGTGTCTGTGTATAAAATGGTCTGTGTGTAAATGTGTCTGTGTGTAAAAGCGTCTGTGTATAAAGGAGTCTGTGTGTAAAAGCGTCTCTGTGTGAAAGTGTCTGTGTGTAAAAAATGTCTGCCTGTAAAAACGTCTGTGTGTAAAAGCGTCTCTGTATAAAAGCGTCGCGTTTCTTCACGTCCACGGAATGATGGTGCCGAGCTTTTTCCGCAATGTGTGTGGGAATTGCCATAGTAAAATGAGATAACACATATCATTTGCAGACTCATGGTACCGAGCCTCCTGTGCACTTTTGTTGCTCACATCGTATTTCTCCATGTTTTCTTTCTAATCCCCCCCTTTAATTCTCTCTCTCTCTCTCTTCTCTCTCTTCTCTCTCTTCTCTCTCT